TCACTCACACTCACACACACACACACCAACCGCATCACTCTCACACACACACACACACACCAACCACATCACTCTCTCTCACACTCACACACACACCACACCACTCTCACTCACACACACACCACATCACTCTCACTCACACTCACACACACACCACATCACTCTCACTCACACTCACACACACACCACACCACTCTCACTCTCACTCACACACACACCACATCACTCTCACTCACACTCACACACACACCACATCACTCTCACTCACACTCACACCAACCACATCACTCTCACTCACACTCACACACACACCACACCACTCTCACTCTCACTCACACTCACACACACACACACACCACATCACTCTCACTCACACCAACCACATCACTCTCACTCACACCAACCACATCACTCTCACTCACACCAACCACATCACTCTCACTCACACCAACCACATCACTCTCACTCACACCACCACACCACTCTCACTCACACCAACCACATCACTCTCACTCACACCAACCACACCACTCTCACTCACACCAACCACATCACTCTCACTCACACTCACACCACATCACTCTCACTCACACCAACCACATCACTCTCACTCACACCAACCACATCACTCTCACTCACACCAACCACATCACTCTCACTCACACCAACCACATCACTCTCACTCACACCAACCACACCACTCTCACTCACACCAACCACATCACTCTCACTCACACTCACACACACACCACATCACTCTCACTCACACTCACACCACATCACTCTCACTCACACTCACACACACACCACATCACTCTCACTCACACCAACCACATCACTCTCACTCACACTCACACACACCACATCACTCTCACACACACCAACCACATCACTCTCACTCACACTCACACACACACCACATCACTCTCACACACACCAACCACATCACTCTCACTCACACACACACCACATCACTCTCACTCACACTCACACCACATCACTCTCACTCACACTCACACACACACCACATCACTCTCACTCACACTCACACACACACCACATCACTCACACTCACACACACACCACATCACTCTCACTCACACTCACACACACACCACATCACTCTCACTCACACTCACCACATCACTCTCACTCACACTCACACACACACCACATCACTCACACTCACACACACCACATCACTCTCACTCACACTCACACACCACATCACTCTCACTCACACCAACCACATCACTCTCACACACACTCACACACCACATCACTCTCACTCACACCAACCACATCACTCTCACTCACACTCACACACACCACATCACTCTCACTCACACTCACACACACACCACATCACTCTCACACACACACACCAACCACATCACTCTCACACACACCAACCACATCACTCTCACTCACACTCACACACACACCACATCACTCTCACACACACCAACCACATCACTCTCACTCACACACACACACACACCACATCACTCTCACTCACACCAACCACATCACTCTCACTCACACTCACACACACCACATCACTCTCACTCACACTCACACACACACCACATCACTCTCACACACACACACCAACCACATCACTCTCACACACACCAACCACATCACTCTCACTCACACTCACACACACACCACATCACTCTCACACACACCAACCACATCACTCTCACTCACACACACACACACACCACATCACTCTCACTCACACCAACCACATCACTCTCACTCACACTCACACACACACCACATCACTCTCACACACACACACACACCAACTACATCACTCTCACTCACACCAACCACATCACTCTCACTCACACTCACACACACACACCACATCACTCTCACTCACACCAACCACATCACTCTCACTCACACTCACACACACACACCACATCACTCTCACACACACTCACACACACACACACACCACATCACTCTCACACACACTCACACACACACACAGCAATCACCTCCACACACACTCACACACACACACACACACACACAGCAATCCTCTCACACACACACACACACACACAGCACATCACCTCCACACACTCACACACACACACACACCACCACATCACTCTCACACACCAACCACATCACTCACACACACACACACACACACACACACACTCTTACACACACACACACACACACACCACACATCACTCTCACACACTCACACACACACACACACCACATCACTCTCACACACACTCACACACACACACACCACATCACCACCACACACCACACACACACACACCACATCACTCTCACACACACTCACACACACACCACATCACTCTCACTCACTCACACACACACACACACCAACCACATCACTCTCACACACACTCACACACACACACACCACATCACTCACACACTCACGCACACACACACCACATCACTCTCACACACACTCTCACACACACACACCAACCACATC